TGTTACAGTTGTTGCTGTCTTCTCTTTGTCAAGTTACATTCTGTCTGAATTTTCACCCACCCTCTAGCATTAATGCCCCAAGCACCACCTTCTGACAAGAGGCTCATTATTTTCAAGTCTCTAAAGTAGCTTTCTGGTCTTTAAGTGCAAACTGTCTAAAGTCGTTTCTAAGATACACTGTTAGGGCTCTAAGGGACTGGAACAGAATCCTATTCCGAAGAGACTTCTGCTTCCTCTGTATTTCCTTTTCTTATCAGATTTCTTTTTTTAACTCAGCCCCTAAGCCTTATGCATACATCAAATCTACTGGGGCATGAAATGGGATGTAAGGCCTGCTGGATATATTCAGTACAATGTCCAAGACTTATTAACCTCATGCTAGCTGATAGCTGAAACTTTTCTTTTGGTGTCTGAATGCACTGCTCAAGCCATAGAGTCCCAAAGCCCTTTGGTTTTTAAGTGGCTATTGCTCACATTTTCCCATTAGGTATATTCAAGGCTGTGAGAATGACAGTTGAACCATCATTTTAAAAATGCTAAAAAGCTGTTTTCCAAAATAAATGCTTATTTTATTCCAAATAAGATAAGATATTTCATCTATCTCTCAGTGGTATAGATGAAAGAAGAAAAGCATATACTTCTTATGTTTGGGGGTGAAGGGGTCCCCTATCCTCACAGTTCAGTGCAGCAACTTGTTTTAGAAAACCTGAGAAGTTTTCATAACAGTAGAAATAAGAATAAGAGCATCAGAGCCTTCCTCAAGTTACTCTGGGCTTAAAAACAGAAAAAGATGCAGTTGTAGAATTCAAATGTAGACCATATGAGCTACCAATTTTGCTCTAAAGAATGCAAAGGATGTCTTTCAGGGACGAAATACAAAAAAAAAAAAAAAAAAGAAACTATATTCATAGAAGATCTTCATAGAAAACAAGGATTCCAAAGATCAATTCACTTGACAAACTTTCTTTCCAGATTCCACTGCTAAGCACCAAAGAACACACTCTTCACCAAACATTTCCAAAAACACACACAAGCCACCCAAGGAACCTTTAACACAAAAAAATGTATCTAGATCTACTTTTTAAACATGTTGGCCTTTGGGCAACCTGGTGAGTTGTCATTTTCCTTCCAATTTCTAAAATGTGTGTGCAGATTTGGCAGCTTTCAGTCTCTGAGAATAAAAGAAGTTACTGAGTGGAAAATAAGATGTGGCCAATGTCTAAACAAAATCTTCCCTATCTCTGCAATGTCTTCACTAACTTGCCGAACCCAGAATTGCTGACTGCCATCTTGCTTACTTGTGCTTGTAGAATGTGGGATCTCTTCTTCCTCGTGATGCTCATAGTGAATGAGGGAAGCGTGTGCTTCCTGGTTCCAGTTTCTTTCATGAGCAGTGGTACCATTTCTGTCTACATCTGCTGTGATGATGGTTAAATACACTGTGACTTGTTATCAACCAACTTTTAATGATTCTGTTCTTCCATTAAAGAGCATGCTATTTAACAATTCTATGTCAAAGTAGTATCTCTGAGCATCCACTCTCAAAAAATTTTCAGTGACTTCACCTAATCTGTCTCAAGAGAAAATCAATGGGCTTGGAATTTCTTTGTGTTTACTTATTAATCCACTATGATCAGTTTGTCAAAGGCAGCACCGTAAACCATTTAAACATATTCATTTCTACAATGAAGTAACATAAAATATCCTGTGCCCACATGGTATAATTGATAAACGACTCCTAAATGGAATTGAGTATTCTCATGAAAGTCCGCTAAGAATTTCTTGAAGAGATACTAACTAAATTTCCTACTGTGTCCCGATGATTGACCTTTCCAGCATCATAGGCTTTGAAGGGGGAAAATAATCTTTCATTAAATAGCATAACCCATTACCAGTCATCCTTGTGGTTGTCTGAAGTAGCACTTCTGGATTTGAATGGCTTGGGTTCCACTGGGTCCAATCTTGGTTCTGTTTTGTGTGGTCAAAAAGCCGTGGTGTGGTTGAAACTGTGATAACGTGATTGAAGCAATTAGAAAAATGTTATTCCTTTAGCCTTCACCGCTTGTCTTGCACATAATCTTGCTTCTGTAGACTATGCAATGAATCATCTATACCCAGTTTTATAGATGGCTCCATGGAAGTGGAGGGAAAGCAGAGTGCCTTCAGCTTAATTCAGCCATATTGGTAAGCATCTCAGTGTCCTTTGCATTCTGTCATAGAATACTTGGGGTTCAGAACATGAGATCTTCCAGATAAAGCAGTCAAAGAAGCTGCAGCAGTAGGAAGGACAGCTTTGAAAACACCAGCCCTCCACCGAGGATAGCCAAAGGCACCATTTTGCCCATCCATGCAGTCTGTAGTATCCCTCTGCACTTGAAAGCCCAGGGACTTAATCACTGTGTACTATTTGTAGATCCTCAGGGTGAAGAGGCAGATAGCTGAAAGTTATACCATGATTATCACTTTATGTTATTTGTAATTCCAGTGGGGAAAGAAATGCCTGAGCAGCCAGAGCTTTCCTATAGATGATTCTGAGAGAGAATATCTACCTAGAATAGCCAAATGGCTTATTTCTGAATATTTATGAAACACCTATGATATTTTCATCAAATACAAAATATGTCATGAGCAAGCCATTCATAGCCAATGAAAGAAAATAAGACACCACAAGTAACCAGCCACCATTATAGCAGCACACTGGAAAGAAAGTGGCATACATCCACCAGCACCCTAATGTTGTCACCCCATCTGTTAGAGCTGGAATAGGAGATGCACCTAGCAGAAGGATCACAACAAAATCTGAATCAATGTGTTTTGTGAAAAAGTTGTTTGCAAATCCATCCTCATTGTTTCAAACTTTATTCTGACACCAAAATAACACAAAACTTTTCAGAACTAGGATACCATCAGCTCTATTTTATAAGTTATGAAAATCAAGTTTAGAATCATTAACCACATTCTCAATAAGCATGAAAAAGTACATATTATCAAGCAGTTATCACACCCCTCCAGGGGAAAGAGAGCATCGTGTTGAATTATGTCCATAGGTGCTAAGCAGAGAAGTAAACTGAAATTGGAAAATATGCCATAGAGATTAAAAAAATAAAAAATTTTAGGCCGGGCGCGGTGGCTCAAGCCTGTAATCCCAGCACTTTGGGAGGCCGAGGCGGGTGGATCACCAGGTCAAGATATCGAGACCATCCTGGTCAACATGGTGAAACCCCGTCTCTACTAAAAATATAAAAAATCAGCTGGGCATGGTGGCGCATGCCTGTAATCCCAGCTACTTGGGAGGCTGAGGCAGGAGAATTGCCTGAACCCAGGATGTGGAGGTTGCCGTGAGCCGAGATTGCGCCATTGCACTCCAGCCTGGGTAACAAGAGCAAAACTCTGTCTCAAAAAATAAATAAATAAATAAATAAATAAATAAATAAATAAATAAATAAACGAATAAATAAATAAATAAATAAACATAAATTTAAAAAATAAAAATTTTTAAAAGTACCATGGGAAGTTTTTCCCTGAAGACTGACATACAACTCATTTGCACATAGATCTGTTTGGGTGACCAGTGAAGGGCATTTAATTTCTCCAGTATCAAGACCACATCTTTTCTGATGGGCCCACCTGCAAAGTGGGGCCACATCCTGAACACAGGAGACAGTGTAATGTAAACTTCCAGTGTTTTAGATTATTTGGTTTCATTCTGAAATTACCAAAAAGAATTTTTTATTCCATAGATTAAGCTCTGGAAGGGTGTCAGGTCTAAAAAAAAAATCACTTAAAAATTTAGAGAGAAAATTCTAGTTCCTTTTGAGTATTGGTTATGTCAATGTACATGCTCAGATGCCTTCAAGGCCTAAGCTGTTTTTTTCCTGGACCCTTTCATCTCTGGATGCTGTCCATGTGAGGATGAAATTCTCAGGTTTTAATGAAATGGACAGAACTTCGGTGAGTTGGCAGAGCTCATGTAGCACCCCAAAAGCCTTTTTTCTAAGGAAAAGCAGAATGGTGAGAAGGTCAGGTTCAGGATTCTCAGCTCTGTTCAGCAAAATCTTAAGTCATTACAGGTATGTGGGGAAATCTCAATAATCCAGCAGAATATTAGACCAACCTTTGCATGTTTTTAACTTTTTAAGGACATCTGTAGAGCTCAATTTCCATCTCTTTGTTCTAAAAACATTTTATAATTGTCAAAAATGTGGATGCTGTTATGTACCAATAGTGGTTTCACTATTTGCTTTTAATAAGTGGCAATGTCTTGTGAAAGCTAACCTGACATTTGCTCTTCCCTTCGAGGTCTTTCCATTATATTGGTGTCCAGCTCATTTGTTAAAACTCTGGATTTATTCCTTTGACCTCAGCCAGGTTTTGATTAACTAACATAATTCTTGAGTTTTAGCTCCCATCATTTAAGCCTTAAGGGCCTTCAACTTAGGATCTTCTACAACTTTTAATTAATACCCTTCTAATCACATTCTCCAGGCCTATTGCTCCAACAGACCATGAGCTTCTGAAAGGCAAAGGCTCTGGCTTTTTTCAGCTTTGTGTTTCTAGCACCTGGCATGGTAAGTACACAATGAACATTTGTTGTACTGTTTTAATATGTCATTCTCTGTTAAAGCCTGATCATTCAAAGACAATCTGTACCAGCAGACCTCATAGATAAATAAAAAAGGAAGAACATGAAACATTAGAAATTTTGTGAGATGTTTTCCCCACTTCTTCTCAAAACAATCTATTTCTTCCTCCATAATTTCATCAAGGTATAATGAAGGTGTATGATTATAGGTTCACTCATTTTTTACATTAACTGCTTTTCAAGAGAGATACAATTGGGTATCACTCAGATTAATCAATAAGGCTTGCATAAATGGCTATACTGTAATTGATTATCCTTACTGGTGCTGGAGATAAAATCTTCATCATCATCAATGCCTGATCCAGAAAAACTGAGGTGTCTGTCTCTTTCATCTTCATTTTCTTCATTTGGCTCCCAGCCTGCTGAGATGGTATTTGAAGACGTACCTGTTGTGGTGACTTGCATTAGTGGCTGAGCTGGATGCCAAGCAACCCACTTGCAAAGGAAGAAAATCAGGCACAGAAGGTATAATGGATTTCCCAGGATTTTATAAAGAAAATGAGGGAGTTGATTTGCATACCCCAAATTCTTATGTTCTGGTCTCCAAAGCTGATACATAAATCTTAAAACAATTGGCTGTGATCTTTAAAACTGAATATTCTCTTTAAGAAAGCTAAAAGAGCCTTATGTGTGGATATAATCTCTCCAAATAAGTTTTTAAAGGCCAGCGAACCCACACACACACACTTTCAGATGTATTTATTACTAACTCATTAAGCATATGCCATTAAAGTCAAGTCATCAAGGACGGAATGGAAAGGTTTCACATGTGCCTTTTTTTGTCAAGACACCTTCAGAAAAATGTTGGAATCTACACCTGTGTCAATCATTTCATTGTGGTCACAATTTGCTAATTCATTTTTCATCTTTTCTAGCATCAGATCAGTGTAGCTGCAAACACAGATAGAAGCTACACTGCAGTTCCCAAGAATACTTCAGCATAGAGCAAAACCATGAAGCCAATTAACAGACAAATAATTCCTGGCATTATTAGGCCACCAAGCGGGTTAACTAAAGTCAACTGTAGTTGAGATTTTGAGAAATTTTTACTTTTTCTTTCTGAATAAAAAAAGGAGATGAAAAATTTCTATTTCTCAGTGGTTACTGTAGAAGATAGCTCTTTACTAAAAAGGGATTTTCTACATTTTGAATGAGATTCAGGCTATCTTAGGGACTGAGCATTTGTCTTTTCATACGATTAGTGTCTACCCCAAGAATAGTTCCACTGATGAAGATTTTCTATATTTTTTCAGACCTAGCTGTGCTATTTCCTTATGAAAATCAAAGACTTTTTATGACTGTGGTAATTTTAGAATATACATGAATAATATTTCAGAGTCACAATTTTGCTATATCATTTAAAAAAAAAACCTGTCCCCTTTTCATAGTCTCTGTATTAGCCTTCTCCTGGGTTATACTAATCCACAGATTAGAAAGAAGAAATCTTATTAGAGCTATACAACCAAACAGATACCAGAGTTCATGATCCTTCTAAAGTTGTAACAAACGTTTATGAGAATAGAAGGGACTTCAGGCTTTAACAACATCCCACTGGTCAATAAAAATTATTCAAGGCTGTTTAGAAAACATATGCTATGAGATAATCGTAACTCATTACCAGCCATTTGTGTTGTTGTGTGAAGATGATGCTTGGACTCCGATGGTGGAAACCACCATGAAAACCAGTCCTGGATTTCTTGCCTCTTGGTTGCTGTCTCAGTTGCTGTGGCACTAATGCTCATCAAAGCTGTTGTAATCATGATTGAATTGATTGTTGAAAGATTAATTAAAAGTTCCTAAGAAATAGCATTGAATATGCTTGTACTCTTTTACTACTCAAGAGAATCATCTATATTTTATATAGATGGTGAAAAGAAAGGGAAAAAGCAAAAAAGTTCAATTCTTTTCAGAGGCCCAAGCAGGAGTTCATAGAATGTCAGAGAGGGAAGGATCTTAAATATCATCTGGTTCATGCTCCTTGTCTTAAAGATTTAAAAATTGTGCTGGACAGAGGTTCTGACTTGTCTGAAGTCAGATGGCTAATTAGCAAGAGCGAGGGCTCCAGGAATGCATGAGAGCTGTCTTTGAATTTTGAAAGTCTATATAAGATAAAAGAGAGATTTAACTTTTGTCTCTGGACCTTTGAGGCCAAATTAGGACCTGTGGTGAAAATTTCAGGGAGATGAATGTTCTTCCAAATGTTGGATTTAAAAAAGCAATAATCTGAATGATCCAACAATGAACTTCTTCATAAAGTATTCTGTTTCCCATCACCAGGAAGATTACTTGGCAGGAAAGTTGTGTAACAGATTAAATCATTAGAAGTGTTGATTGAACCAGACCATTTAACATCCTTTCTAAATCTGAGAGTTTATGATTATAAAACTCAGCTCTTCAGAATCCTAGCTCCTTAATCTTCTATACAATCTTGGGCAAACAATATCATTCTCCAAGACTTTAGGATATGATATTTCTGCCAGCAACAAATACATAAGCCTAACAATCCAACACACAGGGAAAATGACATAGAAGTAGAAGACTAAAAAAGATACCTTTCTACTTTTCTCCATTTAGATTCCAAATCCCTCTAACAACCTTGCCCACAGTAATTTCTTATATCAAACTGTATTTTGCAAAGCAGAACAGGACATTTTGAGTCCCATTCTTTGAAAATAGAATAATCAATCAGGAAAGACAGATGAAGTGACCCCAATGATCTCGCTAATAAGACCAGAAGCAAGAGTAATATTTAAAAATTTCCAGAGACTGCCATTTCTAATGCACAAAAATGTACATCAGAAGCATATGAGCTAACAGCAGACAAAAAGCTGAGAACAAGTTGAAGCAGAGAGGCTGAAACCATCATCCCTAAACACAAAAGTAAGGTAAGTTAGATTTTTTTTCAGCTATCAAGAAAGCCCAAAAGGAAAAATAACCCAAGCTGAAACACTGCCAATTTGTCCTATGAAGATAAACATTGTCAACATTTACAAATAGCATTTTCTTTATTCTGCAATCTCACTATCCCCCCTCCCCACCTCTGCATGATCTTAGACATTGTGATATGGCAACCATAAGGTAACACTAGCACTATTTTTCTCACGATTATTTATAGAAGTAAAGAGTACAATTTATCCAGTGTCACATAAGCCAAACAAATGTAAAGAATCATCTTTCCAAGTTTATTACTTCCCTCTGCAGAAAGAATGTCTAGTTATTTTGGAATATGGCCATTACTTCCCTCAATAAAAGTTAATAAATGAAGGTGTTTGTAATCTCCCATTTTTACAGACTTTGAATCAGTTTTCCCAAAGCTCCTTTATCGATGCACTTTGCAGGGATACAGAACTGAGAGCCACACACCCAGGGAGCTTATTAGAGGTCTAGATTCTGATATGGAGAAACAGGTCATTTCCTACATTTTACTGTTGAGATTTTAAGTGTCCGAAGAAGGGTTCAGGGCCTACGCTTTGATAAGAGAAATCTGCATTTCCTTCTCTTATTATTGGTTGTGAGAATCAGATCAGTAGGAAGGAGAAAACTGCACTTTCAGACAGACTTCTTTCTAAAGGATATTTTCTCAGTGAATCACAGAGTCAATTCATTCATTTGTAGTTTTCCATAATTTCGTTCATTCATTCAAAACTATTAATTCATAGTTTTTCCTTCCTCTGATGGAAAAATCATTCTGATTCTACATACATGTTGCCAAAAGGAAAACAAACAGGACATTTACAAATATCAATCATACCCCCATATCCACAAGCCTTTCTGATAAATAAAGTGCTACCAGATCCTATTCTCACTAAGAATGGTAAAGAAGCTTTGGCATGATAATGGATGTCCTCTCCCCTAACACTAAAAGATCTGATATTCAGGAGAGCTGAAAAGCAAAAGACGAAGCAGTTTACCTGTTGTTGATGTTGTTATGAGATCCTGAGTCTTAGGCTGTGAATTACCAAACCATAGCCAGTTATTTTGCTCCTGAGCTGCTGTGTGAGTGCACACAACTGTTTGAGTGCACAGTTGAAGTAACTGGATCAATTATGAAAATATCATTTAGTGACCTCTATAAATCTTTCCTTTCAGTTCTGTCTATATATGATGTCTGTATCTATCACTGAATAATTAGAAAAGAAAAATCTAGGCCTGGTTTTATCTTTCCAGACTCCTAATGTCTCCCACAATCTTAGGACAACATCAGAAATGCAAATTCCACATGGGTATCAATTTCATGCTATTCATTCTTCAAACAGAACCCCCTGAATTTATAATGAGAGCAAAATCAAGCAGCAACTTAATAACCTGCGAAGGAAAGAGATTTTCAGTTTACTTGACTGGGTGACTGAGCCATGAACTGGAGGTTTTCGAAGCAGAATTTCAAGCAGCTGCTTTCATTCATTTATCTTTCGATTATCTTTGGGTTGCTAGTGTGTATTTTTCACATCTGCCCAGCATTGTACCCAGGTGGCTTGTGATGATAACTGGCATTTCAAAGCTCCACCCACAAACATCGGCCTCAAGTCAAACTTCATACTTGAGCAGGAACTCGGCAAAGAAAACGTGTTCAAAGTGTCAAAATCAGATAAAATTTCCTCAAGCATCTATCACTTCTGTTACTTTTTATTCCAAGTCGGTATGTGTTTCTACCAAAAAACCAGAGTTGCCAAAGTTCATTTCTCAAATTAGAGAAAATATCATCAGTAACATTTTTGCAATATAAAATCTCTTATTTGACTCTCAAGTTTGACTTGAGTTCAGGATGTTTCCTTATTGAAGTAGAACGGCAAAAACCATCAGGATAAATATCTAATTTAAGCCAGTTGAGATTTTAAAAAACCACTTTAAATTATGTATCCCTTTGAAAATCTATGTTGTGACCTCCCTCCTCAAAAAAGCGACCTTACGCATACACACACTCAAAATTTTGCATATTATTTCAAATGGTTTGAGAATGCCTTATAACCTATCATTGAATCCATGACCCCTAGGTTAAAAACTTTGACTCTATCTGTATCAAATGCCAATAGCTGGCACAATATATTATGTCCTCTAAATTAAGCTTGTCTAACCCACAGTCTGTGGACCACATGCAGTCCAGGATGGCTTTGAATGTGGCCCAACAAAAATTCATAAACTTTCTTAAAACATTATGAGATTTTTTTTGCAGTTTTTTTTATTATCTCATCAGCTATGGCTAGTGTTAGTACATTTTATGTGTGGCCCAGGACAATTATTCTTCCAGTGTGGCCCAGGGAAGCCAAAAGATTAGACATCCCTGGTGTAAAGGAAACATTAGGTCAGAACAGAGAGCAGAGAAATAGGAGCCAATGTAACCCATGAAGCTTTCAGATTAACCTGAGCACCCCTGGAAAATTCGCAGATACCACGTTCTCACCTCAGAAACTTTATTAAAGATGCATAGTTCCCACCACCCTCACCCGATAGTACACCAGGAAAAAAAA